CAATATTGATTAATTTCAATTTGGTCAACTGGATTTATACAAAATTTTCTCATCACCGGTTGGATAGAAAGACTTGTATCCTCCCGGCTACGCACCGCCCTTCCCTAACTTAGGGTTAGGGTTTTACCCTAATTAGGGTTTCCCCCAATTAGGGTTTTAGGGTTTTGCGCGCCACCGCACGCCACCACGTCCAACTTCTCGAGGCAGAAAATTTCCCGTCGGTTTGTAGTCGGTTAAAAGCCGGGTTCCAACGGATCACTTTTGCCACAGACTTCTGTCTCCGTTTTATTTTTATAAAAATACAAAGAAAGTCACTAATTCGTTTTAATTTTCTGCTCTTTGCCTGTCTATTGGGGGTCACCACTCGTCCAAATGGAGTCCGTTTTCCCCGACTAAGGTCTCAAAATGTTGGGAAAAATACAAGGACCAACTTTGGTCCGGGCGGGGTTCACCTAATTTCGCTTCTTTTCTTCGTAATTTAAAATAAAAGGAAATTCATAATTTTCGGAATTTTAATTAGAAAATTACAAAAAATTTCATATCTCCTTTTCTAGCCATTAAAATTTTTCAAAAAATGTCTCAAAACGTTCTCCTCGACGAGAGGTCGAACTTTGCTCCCGGTGCGGCTCGCTCGAAAACGGGCGAATCGGGAGATATATAAAAAACTAAATAAAATGACTATAAAAAAAATAAACTAGTCAAGAAAACAAGCTAATTAGTGTTCGACTAATCAGCCCGTGCACCCCCGTTGGTTGGGGAAGGCCGCGGCCTTGGGGGTGCTGCTCCCCTCCCCGGCAACGGCGCCAAAGTTGTGAAGAAACCCGGGGAGGGGCGCCTACTGTTCGCCGAAGCCAAGGGCAACGGCGTCTGTCACCCACCGCGCCCGCCTCCGAGGTCCTCGGCGGCCAGTAGGGGGCCTGCCGCCTGTTTAGTCGCGAAACGTGATCAGATGTTTTTTTTTTTTTTTTTTTTTTTTTGCTGCAATTTCAGGTGTAATATGATTACCAATCTGAGCTACTTCTTCCTAACGCAATCCCACATGCGTTATTAATTGGAATGATTTTCACGAGTTGGGAGGTTACCCTTAGGAAGGTTCAACAGAGCGGATAAACATCGGATCAGCAATCGAAGGGCAATGTCAGCGTCTCCTGCAGTTTGTAAGTCAAATGATCAAATGAAAAGAAACTGATCTCGTCTCTTTCACTCTTGTCCCCACCTTCCCTCTTTCTCTTTTCTGTCCCACTCTCTCTGAGACTCTCTTCTCTCTCTCCGCAGTTGTGTGCTCACTCCCCCCCCTCTCTTCTCACGCACATTGTGACACCATCACACCCCCACACGCACGCCCATTCTTTCTTTTCCCAGTCAGATTCACTTGAGTGAAGGAACCGCTTTTCCTATCAAATTCATGCGGATGTGGTCAGCCCTCATGATGTCACAGCATTGTCAGGATCGAGCTCCCAACGGTCAAAGTCCTCGTTTCGAAGTCCCCCTCATTGGTGCGAAAACGGATCTTCGTTTGGGATCCCGAGTCAAAGTTGAAAGCATTTTCTCATCATCACGTTGAATGTTCTCGTGAAACTCGATAGGTTTTCGGTACATTTGTGAGAGAATTCTTTGCCGAGAGATCATTTATAATGACCAGATTTTCGCCCCCACATCTCTCCTCTCCATCATTCTCTCTCTTCCTTCTGCACACTTATTCTCAATCCCCCTTTCTCTCTTCCTCCGCACATTCATATCCCTTAGTGTTTCACTCAATCCCGCTATTCTCCCCTCTCATGCAATGGCTGAAGCAGATTCGATTTTTGAATAATAATAAAAAAAAAGTTCATCTACGTAGGCACGCCCCCTGATCCGCACATATCAGTTATCTGCCACTGTTTCACACGCCAACTGCCTTTCATTTCCTCC